TTATTTCATGCAATTACTTAACAGGGGCTTTTAAGAAACCCTCTTTTGGAAGGATTTAAAAAAGAAATCTGTTCCCTCTCCCTGGGACAGTGGTAAGGGGGCCTTGCCTAAAGGTAGGGAAAAGAACAAACTTTATTTTTGTAGTCATGCAAGTTTTAGAAGTTGGAATGGATTTTGAGTTCAGAGTTGTGATTTTCTCCACAATCAGTTAATCAGTTCTGTTAGGTAAACTATCATTGTTTTAAAGAAGGCCAAAAACCACCCAGCTGGTGTGGCTCAGTGGTTGAGTGTCGACCTATGAACCAGGAAGTCACAGTTTGATTCCAAATCAGGGCATATGCCTGGGGTGTGGGCTTGATCCCCAGTGTGGGGTGTGCAGGAGGCAGCCAATCAATGATTCTCTCTCATCATTGATGTTTCTATCTCTCTCTCTTCCTCTCTGAAATCAATAATATATTGATCAATAATTATTGATCAAAAAATGTGCAGAGTGTATATGGGGATACTTATACACTCAACCAATCTTGAATAATTCCCTACTGCTTGTCCCATGAAATCTAAGCTGGTGTCTCCTATACAAGGTGACCCCAAACACCGACTGTACTCTCCAACATGAATGCCTTAGTTTCATCAGGACTACTTTATTATTCCCAATATATTGATCAATATATCAATAAAATAGGCCAAGAACCAGTGTGTCTATTTTAATCATATAAAAACATATTTTAATTCAATGGATATATACTTACAACCATAAATTCCTAAAATATTCCAGGGGACCCAGCCAGAAAGGGGTTATATTTGGAAATTCTTGTGTGTTGTAGAGTGTTTTTTTCTGGAATAATCCCTCTCACTTGTGGATTTTTTTTCATTGGTGGTTTTTTATTCCCATACATTCTAAGACCTTTTGTTTCAAACTCACCAACAGAGAGTCCCAGAGACTTCTCATGCGATTCCTGTTCGCTTTTCTAAATCCTAATGATTATAATAATAACCAGTCTCAACGACACGGTAAAGAAGCCAAGATATTACCTGCCAGGCAAGAATCCAATGCCACCGAGTGTGAAGCGTTAAATGCAAAACACAAGAACTCAAGTTGAGCCGTAACCGCGATCCCCGCCGTACTTCTCTCTCACCTGGGACTTCTTACATGGGAAGAAACTAGTGAGTTATGCAGACTCGAGGGGACATAAAAAAAGAAATGGTCCCGATGCTATTCGGTAATCAATTGGAGAGAGAAAAAAAAAATCAGTCAGTATCAGGTAATAAAATATGGGATTCGGGTAGAGCACCTGCCGGAGGATGTATCCTGCAGAAAAGGTTATTTTTCATGATTTACACGGGTTTTGAAAGAAGCTTGCGGAATGCCACGGGAGAAATAAAGACTTCGCCAGGCCTAACATTGTTCTGCAAGTGCTTCCCTAATGCTTGTTTATGTTTGGGGGGTGGGGGGGTGTGGACAGTGAGGTGGAACGGTTATTGACCAGATTGATCATGGGAACAGATCTGCCGGCGGTAACCTTGTTTAATGATATGTTGCTGGGCTCAGCACCTTGCAGGAGTTGTGATTCCTCAGCGGCTGCGGCCGCGTGATGGATCGCGGCAGGAAGCTGAAGGCGCAATCATTCACCCGCTGTCAACGGCCTGGCCCCGCCTGTCACCTTCCCCCAGAAGTGGGCGGCCAGGCTGCCCACCCCTGGGAGACAGGAGGGCTGCCCGGAGCCTTGCACCTTCCTCTGTAGGGCGTGGCGGCAAGTTTGGGGTTTTGATTTTTTTGTTTCCCCCCAAAATACTTAAGTCCTCTCCTGCCTTGGGCTTCTCAACCTCTTCCTCGCACACACAGCCCTTTAGGGTTTATTTGAACGTGGCCAGAGACCAAGCAAGGCCTATTTACATCAGAAGATCTGAAGATTCAGGGAATATGATTATTTTCTAGAAAAACAAGAAATCCTATTTTATGACATTTTTCTTTTTTAAAATATATTTTATTGATTTTTTACAGAGAGGAAGGGAGAGGGGTAGAGAGTTAGAAACATCGATGAGAGAGAAACATCCATCAGCTGCCTCCTGCACACTCCCCACTGGGGATGTGGCCACAACCAAGGTACATGCCCTTGACCGGAATCGAACCTGGGACCCTTGAGTCCGCAGGCTGACGCTCTATCCATTGAGCCAAACCGGTTAGGGCCATTTTTCTCTTTTTAATCAATGCCTTAGTGTGGTAGAAGTTGCACAGGGATTGGGCATGGTGGTACCTGGATGGAGGTTACTGGGCTGGAAACTCTCAACTTGGTTCTGCGTTTTCATCTTGGTATGTCCGGCACCTCGCACATAATTGTTTGCTCCAAAAAAAACAGGGACCTGTGTAATTTGGTTTGAGAAAGGACAGAGTAGAATAAGGGGATACTTACACACTCAACCAATCTTGAATAATTCCCTATTGCTTGTCCCGTGAAATCTAAGCTGGTGTTTCCCGTACAAGGTGACCCCAAACACCGACTGTACTCTCCAACATGAATGCCTTAGTTTCGTCAGGACTACTTTGATTCCCACTATCCATGCTTATTCTTCTCCTCTGAACCAGCCCTTCTGCAGCCAGCCTGGTGCCACCTCTCACAAGAAGTCCTCCTTGATTACATCAGCCTTTATTCGCCCCTTATTTCAGAAGTTGGTTCCTTCTTAAGATTTGTGGTTCCAAGGATGCTAACTACATCCTCACCTCTAATATTGCCACTCGAAACCTGAACTAACTCATTAACACACTGATGGCAAATTTGGATTAGGGCTAGACATACAAAATTTATTCATATTTTGCAAAAATGCTGGGCAAAGATGTTCTCTTTTCCTATGCACGAGCAAGCACGTGGGTCTAAGAGCTTCTGCGGGACTAGGAGAAAGCTAGGCCTGGAATGAAGCTGGCACTTTTGAAAATAGGAAAAGAGAAGGAAAAAGACATTTGATGAATCACTGAGCTACTCAGCCCTTAACAGATGCCGGTCCAAAGACCACTCAGTTTTAACCTGAGTATGCTCCGGGTTTCAGCCAGTTTCTCAAGGATTCTGTTACTTGCAACTAAGAGCAGTTCCATTTTCTTGGAACTCCATTTTCACTTAGGACAAACAGACACTTCATTTTGGCTTTCCTATTTTTTGAAATAAGCACCCATCCTCTCGTCCATGAAACGGAAAACTTTCTAAGTTACTCGTAAGCTAACAAGGTAGCAAGGAAGTCTAATATTCTGAGATGATGCATTGAATTGGAAGGGTAGATAGTCTGTATCCTGATTTGGTTATATGTTACTTGTCTCTTTCTCAGACAGGCACTAGAGTCCTGTCTTTTTCACAGTCTCCATCTCCTAATTATATTGCTTTCACTTGAGAAAGAGTCCTGTGTATATTATTATTAATCCTATTACTAATTAATCACTATGCCAGTCTTCAAAAAATTTGCACAAACAAGCTATGTGCACAATACCTTATGGAAAAAAATCAAGACAGCCAGCCTATAAGGCACAAAGAAATCAAAAGCTAAAAGACATTCAACAAAAAGAAAAAATAGCTGCACGGGGCTTTGGGGGAAACAAATGATGTAGGAAAGTGGGACTCGTGGCTTTCCGGTGGAGAGCTCGGCGGTGGTCGGTTCCCTGTGGCTTCTTGTCCCTTCTACCTGTATCTTTAAGGCATTAGCCTCGCTCTCAACCCTAAGTTGACAGTGAGGTGCTGCAGCCCCCCAAAACAAAAATGGAAGCAAAAGATAGTATGAAGTTTTCTAGCAGACCAAATGCATTTCGAGGCTCTAGCTCTTCCTGTTTTTTTTATAATAGTCTTTTTCCTTTTTTACTCTCACCAATGTGGTATTACAGCATTCCTTAAAGAATGTGTGTGTGTGTGTATGTGTGTATGTGGTTTTGAGGGGGAAAATGGAAACGTATAGATGCTTTTATTCACTGAACAGTACTCTCTACCACTTTCCTGCCTCTGAGGTCATCTCACAACCAGCAGCGATGAAGACGATGAAAACATTTCCCCCTGACAGCTTCTGCTCTTTGCTGTCACACCCAGTGGCCGGCCACCGTGGACCAGTTTCTGAGTGTGTCACTGATTTATAAAGGCAGAAGGAGGTTCACTTCCCTCCTGTGTGCTATCTTTTTGGCTTCTCTCTCGACTTCTGGGTCTCTGGGTCTCTGTTTATCCTCTTTAAGCAAGATGTCAAAAACCCAGTGCAAAGAGGACAGACAGACTCCCACCCAACGCCGAAGTTTCTTTCACCCCCTCCTAAGGGTTCTGTGTTGTTTAGCCTGATTGTCTTTCTGCCCGTATCCACTTCATTGGTAAGTTGTAAGTGTAATTCGAAGCAGAGCAGAAACTCAATGCTATTCTAGAAAACAGCAGGTGTTTCTCTATGTGTACATAAAAGTTCTTTCTTATTGAATGAGAACCTTATTACAGTGATATTATAAGGAAGAGGAGCTTTTCATCTTATAATGAATGCCATGCTCAAGGAACATTCTGTATCGTGAACACTATATAACTACTGGTCTTGCATGATGGTTAATATAAAAGAAATGGGCAGAATTAGCTATCAATCTAGTATAGCCTGATGCTAATTACAATAAAGTCGTGTGCATATAAAGTTGCTTCTTAAAGTGGACTGTTCTGATAGCTACAATTTGTAAAGGTCATCCAAATCATATTTAAAGTTCTATGGGGGGCCAGGGGGGCGGGTCTTGTTTTAATGAAACGAATGCATTTCTTCTTAAAGACAGTGGTTGGCACTGTTTGTACTACACTCACACACCATCTATCCACAAACACAGCAAATGACACTTTTACTAAATCACTCAAATATCACTAATTCTCTAGTCATTAGAAGCTTACCAGAAAACACGTACCATTTTAAGCTCCCTTTTAATTCTTACTTTTTTAAACGGAGAAAATGGCAATATAAATGAACTTGATTTATCAAGATATCTTCAAAAATGTTCTTATATAAATATTTACCCCCAAATTGTGGATCATTTGGCCCATCTGACGTTTAAACTCCTGGATTACGCCAGCTTGTTGCTATAAAAGGTGGAATATAAAAACAAAAATGCTTCAGAGGTACAGGCCTGCTTTCTAGAAAGATGTTTATCAGCTAAAATGCTTCATCCTTCTGCATCTAATTTGCCAGTGTAAGACAACTACACAAAAGCATCAATTTGTGTTTGGGAATATAATCTAATTGGCAACATTTTTTGGACACATTTAATATTTGCTATAATTATAAAATGCAGATGAACTGCTGTAAAAGAATATTCTGGTGTCCAAAAAAGAGGGAACATTTTAAAGGTGGCTGTGTTGCCCACTCCAGCTCTATCGTTTTAGTCCATCTCTCAGGCTGAACCTAAAAAGCACGAGGAAAAATGGTAAAACATTTCAGTGGGCGTGTGAACATCTGTGGGCATCACTGGCAGCCACTTAATAATCCCAAGGAAAGAAGTCCCACATTTTAAAATCTGAGACCTCCTCATGCAAATCATTTTGCCTTGAGCCATTTCAAAAAGAAATGAAGGACCTGGAGGGTTTTACAGAACACTGGTGAGACCGTTGTCAACTTTGATCTGACAGTAATTAGTTAAGATCTTGACTGATCATACGGCAAGCCGACTCCAAAATCTGGTGCCCAGCTAATAGGAAATAGGGCCGCAATTTCTAAGATAAAAATCCCTGCTTTATCTGACAGGGTATTCCCTATGTTAGTGGATTATTGAGTGGCATATAATGAAACGATGAATCATTCATTGTCTAGTAAAGTGATTCACTATGATGCAAGTACAGTTTTTACCTCATGTAGAGAGACATCAAGTTCAACATTAGGTAGTTGTTTACTTAAGCTTAAGTATACGTATACAGGCGTTAAGTATATATACATTAAACCAAATATGTCTAAGTTCTTTTTCTGTTTAAAAACTAAGATTTAAGTCCTAGCCGGTTTACTCAGTGGATAGAGCCTTGGTCTGTGGACCTAAGGGTCCCGGGTTCGATTCAGGTCAAGGGGGTGTACCTTGATGGCATATCGATGTTTCTCTTTGTCTTTCTCGGTCTCTTCCACTCTCCCTAAAAATCAATGGGGGAAAAAAAAAAACCTTGGGTGAGGATGAACCAAAAAAGAAAACACAACAAAACTAAGATTTAAGGAAAATACCTTTTACACTTTAATGTAATTATGGGAAATGAGGTGGTCAGCACGAAATGAAGTCTAGTCTCTCCCTAAAAATCAATGGGGGGGAAAAAAAAAACCTTGGGTGAGGATTAACCAAAAAAGAAAACACAACAAGACTAAGATTTAAGGAAAATACCTTTTACACTTAATGTAATTATGGGAAATGAAGTGGTCAGCACGAAATGAAATCTAAAGTTGATGCTGAGATCAAACTCAGCGCTACACTGGACTTCTGGAAAAGATGACCTTCCTATTCTATATACGGGGAACTAAAATTTAAAACTCACGCCACAGCCAATCCCTGCAAAGCATTCCCTTCTCCCCACAGGTAGTGGGGAAGGGAGCCCAGATGACAGGACCCCCACCTGAGCCCCAGCTCCCCGGGCAGCCCAGACCCACTCTATCCATCACGGCAGGATAATGCATAGCTGTTGCACCTGTGACAGGCCATGATTGAGTGCTGAACACGGGGCCTGCCTCGCCTGGCGCCTGGCGCATTTGTATTTGTTTGAGAATTTTCAGCACTTGGGGGCAGGGAAGCAGGGATCCCCATTGTATTTTGAAAGAGAAATAATAATGCGTTTTGATTATCGAGACGTACCACAAAGGAGAAATTAGGCAGCGGAGCGCCCCGGTCCGCCCAGGTGTGCGAGAGCATCCGTGCAGCACAAAATGCAATATTATCGAGCGGTAATTTAGCTTTGATGAGTCGGGGATGCTGACCACGGCCATTCCTTTGGAGACGTCTCACTCACCCAGTCATGAAACGGGTATCTGTTCCTTTAGGATCACATGTAAGAACAAGAACAAAAGGTCAAAACTCACCGATTGTCCGAGACGGCGGTCTAATCCGACGTAGTTTAGGATGGCAAGGGATCCATTTTTTTTTTCCAGCTTGAAGTTCTCCCTCCATATTTTGGAAACCTCTGGTTTCATATCATAATCAAGTTATTTAAATGGTTTAAGTGGCATCATCTGCTTTTTAAGAAATTGAAATTACAGTGTATACAGTTTAAATCATTTCCTGCTAATTCAGCCGGTTCCTGAAAGCATGTCATTGGTGAAAATGTCTTTTAAAGTACCTGTTTTACAGCATTCGGGGGTTTGGGTTGAACCTTCTTAGTAGAACCGTGTTTTTTTCTATTATAGAAGGAAAAATATTGATATTATATTGTATTATACACGTTGTTCACATAATTCGAGTTTGGGGTTCTTAACTGACTTACATGAATGCTTTTGTTAAAATAATAAGATTACCTGTCCAGATTGTCTCACAAAGAGAAAAAAACGCACCACACTGAAGGAAAACTCACTCCCCCTCCCCAAAGGGGCAGGAGGGAGACCATTAACAATAAAAACACAACCAATCTGGATATGTAAACTCCATTTCTTGGGTTAGCATTTCCACTTGGTCTGAACCCATTCCCCGGGGCACATACAACACATCGCCACACACACACACACACACACACACGCTTGGACTTTTTTTTAAAAAAAATGCTGGTGCCCAGGGGGCAGCCAGGTCAGCGGGGATGGAGGCAGGAGGGACAGAGGAGAGGGGAGGAGACAGAAAAAGAAAAAATGGAAAGGAAAAGAGAAACTCCATTGGAGAAGTAAGCGAGTGAGTGGACTGTGGGCCTCCGTCCCTTTATCTTTCCTCATCGGGATTGTGACCTTCACCTTCCCTGAGTGCGGGCCAGTGGGATCGGGAGGAAGAAATGGGGGGGGGCTGCGGGTGCGGAGCGCTGCGTGTTGGACGACAACCGGGGTCCCAGGGTGGCGCGTGTGCAAACACAGGTCCCTTCGCGCCACTGTCCCCACGGGGGACTGGCGCAGTCCCCACGCCTTTGCT